GCTGTCATGATCCTACAGTGGCAAAGCTGCATAGGCGCTGGGACAACGCTCAACAGTGTAGACCTTCGCTTGTGGGGCAATGTCGCAGGAAAACAGTATGGTGCAAACATGCGCCGTCTTACTTTGTCAACGAGGCTCTTGTTCGGCGTTCTGGCAAAAGCTACTAGGTAATGTCTTGGTAGATTTTTTCTTGCCGCGACCGACCTAGCTTGTTCGAGTATGTTATAGCTTGAACAATATAGAGCTAATAGTATTCAGCTGAGGAACTTTACAACAAAAATGTGCAAGCTTTGGAGGATTTCTTCGAGCACATGTGCCTAGACTTGCGCAATATGTGCCTAGATGGTGTCACCTGCATGGACGGTGCCAAGACCTACGTAGCCATCCTTGGCGTCAAAGGCGATTGGCCATTTCTAGCGGCTGGGCTTAAGCGTGGCAAGCAAAACCCAACGTGTACCTCACAAAGCCCCGAAACCCATAATTTATAACCCCCATGCACTAGAAGGGCTCAAGTAAGCAAACCTCCCAAGCTTTCTTATAAGTATGACCCCTGAAGATTTCAGCTGGCCACCTTGAGCGGAATTTCCGGCGTGGCCCGAAGTCTCATCGTGGAAAGCCTGGGCTAGGAGTGTGCCACTTATGTAGAGCTGGACAGCCAGGGCTGGACTTCGAGGATATGTTTCTTGGCGCAGGAATTGTAAAATACTTTTGAGAAAAAATTCAGATTTCAAAATACCTTTACAAAGCCAACCACCAGGAACTGAAAAGCGAGCAGGTATCAGCATAGCATCCATGCATTCCATAATACATTCACGCAGAATCCTTTAAACGCCTGATGGCCGGACCTATTTCAGAAAGGGTGGCTTTTCTCAGTCAGGGGGCCCTGGCCATCTTTCCTTGAAACAATGGAAGAGGAGCCGCCGTGGAGGCCTGGTAACGAATCACCATTCACGCGGCTGCTGCCGCAGGATCCTTCCCGGCTTGCTGGGTTCTACCGCGCGGACGTGTGGCACACCGTGAATCTAGGTGTGGGCAAGTCCTGGGTAGCAAGCGCTATGGTCTTGATTCTTCCTTTATTTGAGGGTGGAAGCGTGCCCGCTCGTTTGGTGGCACTGTCCAATGCTTATTTTCAATTCTGCCGAAATTCAGAGACTCGACAAATAAACTTTCATCAGGGGTTCCATCAAGACTTGAATCAACACATTTTGAATTCATGTGATTATAAGGGGATGGTAGGTAGCTCGGGTCATTCACGATTTGATGGTTTTCAGGTGCCCAAGAAGCTGCGCTACATCACGAAGCCGCTTACCAGGGACTCTCTTGGATGGGAGTCTTTTTCTTCATGCCCAGAAGGTGGCTGGAACAAAGGCGCGCTGACTACGACTTTCCTGCAATTTCTGCAGCATTGGACACAGCAGAACAACCTTGAGCATTCTGCTGATGAACGTCTGCGGTTGGTGGACTCTTGGTTAATGAAGTGTGGGGCCACATAAAGCTTCAAATCCACATAGAACAGGTAAGCTTATATTATCGCCATTTTTGTTTCGGGGAACTTGAAACTTCAAATATGCCTTCCCAACATGAACCCACGTAAGTCCGAGGTTAGTCCCAGCCTGAAACCCAACACACGCGGAGGCGAGTGGCACGAGAGCTGTCAATGTCATGATGGCGACCCTCTATAGTGGGGGCTTTTGGTTGGAAGGTGCCACCCAGGAGTCGTTTGTCAACGCAGGTCAGCACTTCCTACAGGCATCCGCTAGACTCGCGCTACTCTCATTTCAGCTGAAGGAGGAAAGGTTCCCAATAACCCCCAAACACCATAGCTTGTTTCACATTGTACAGATTTGCCGCTACGAGCGAGATATATCTGGACGCGCCATGAACGCGGTAACCGAGTCATGCGCGCAGGATGAGGACTTCGTAGGAAGGCTTGCTAGGATTTGCAGGTCTGTTTCTCCAAGAGCTACAGGCCTCAGGACCTTGCAAAGATACCTTTTCCAATGCAGGGAAGTGTGGTTCAAGCCCTGAAGCACTTTAGAGCTGTCATCCCTCAATCAGCGATCCTTCATAGCGTATCCTGATTATGTGGACCCAGTCTCTGCAGTAGTTGCTCCAGCAGCCACGATCAGCAGTGGCGGAAGCCATGCACACAAGGCACAAAGCCAAGGTTTCGTGGGTTTAGGGTTTATAGTTTTTAGGGAGGGGGATCTTTCATTTAGGGATGCCTTTTGTCAGGGCTATGCGCATATATGTGGACATTTGTCTTCCTTGGAGGTGTTCTGGGTTTGGGAAGCTTTTTCAGGATGACGTTCAAACATATATGTCCTGCATAATGGTTCATGGACACCAGCGAAACATCCCTATAGTAAAATCGCCACAGGGTAATGCTTATAGTTCTCGACGGATTTTGGGGCCTCGCAAGCTAGGTGTTTCAGGTCGAGTAGCGATGATTCCACTTGATCCACAGCTCGTATTAGGCTTCCCAAGCACTCGCAATGTCTTGTTTAAAGATGTTTTTGATGCAGTTAACTTAGAAGGGAAGGGCGTTTTAGGTCTACTGAAGTGTTGTTGCTTAGTCCACCCCAGAAATTTAATGTATTTTCAGAACCAAGTGCTGGCTTTTTTGGGGCTTCCAAGCGGGGTGATAAATGGCATTTCCAAACTTCCCAACATAGCAGGGTATGTTTTGTTTTTCGTACTTGCGCTGGTACATAGTGAGAATCCTGTTTGTCAGGGTCGGTTTGGGGTTTTGGGGTTTAGGGCTTATAAGGTTATATAGGGTATAGTATAAAGGCCTTTTCACAAGAAAGTAATAGCATTTTGGAGCCCTGAGGCCTCCCTACCAATGCTGCACTGGGTGCTGGATTTATATGTCCTCTACAACCATAACGACAGATGCATATAAGCAGTGGAGTTGTTTTGCCCGTTCGGGTGTTGTTTTTCCCGTTCAGCTGTGGAAACCCCTTGACATTCCAACTATTGTCCTCTGGGAGTTGTTTCTGGAACACCTTGGGGGCCCCAGGTCTATACTACCCCCCTAGGTTCTCCCCTTAATCAAAATTATTTAAGACTAATTAAGGTAAATTAAAATTAATTAGGGGGGGAACCTGGGGGGGAGGGGCAGAGTATAGAGGGGGA